TGGAAAATTTTTCCATGTTCATGGATTGGAAGAATCAATATCATCAAAATGTCCATACTTCCAACAGCAATTTACAGACTCAATGCAATACCAATCAAAATGCCAAAGACATTCTTCTTAGATATAGAAAAATGATGCTGAAATTCATATGGAATCACAGGAGATCCTGAATAGCTAAGGCAATGTTATACCACAAAAACAAAGCCAGAGGCATCACAATACCAGATTTCAAGACACACTACAAGGCAGTTTTAATCAAAACAGGCTGGTTCTTGTATAACAACACATGGATAGACCAATGGAACGGAACAGAAACACCAGGAATCAATCCACGCTTCTATAACCACCTTACCTTTGACAAAGGAGCTAAACCAGTCCCTGGAGCAAGGACAGTCTCTTCAAAATGGTGCTGGGAAAACTGGGCTTCCATGTGCTGAAGTATGAAGCAAGACCCCACCTTACACCTTACACAAAAATCCACTCAACATGGATCAAAGACCTAAATCTATGACCTGATAACATCAAATTCTTGGGGAACACTGGGGAAACTGCAAGGCACTGGCATAGGCAAAGAGTTCTTGGAAAAGACCCCAGAAGCACAGGCAGTCAAAGCCAAAATTGAGAAATGGGATTACATCAAATTGAAAAGCTTCTGCACTGCAAAAGAAACATTTAGCAAAGTGAAGATGCAAACAACAGAACGGGAGAAATTATCTGCAAACTATGCAACTGATAAAGGATTAATAACCAGAATATAGAAAGAGATCAAGAAACTCAGCAACAAGAAAACAAACAACCCAGTGGAGAAATGGGCAAAAGACTTCAACAGGCATTTTTCAAAAGAGGAAATCCAAATGGCCAACAGACACATGAAGAGATGCTCAGGATCACTAGCCATCAGGGAAATGCCAATCAAAACCACAATGAGGTTTCAGCTCACCCCAGTTAGAATGGCTTTCATACAGCAATCAACAAACAACAAATGCTGGTGAGGATGTGGGGAGAAAGGTTCCCTAATCCACTGTTGGTGGGAATGTAAACTGGGAAGCCAGTGTGGAAGACAGTATGGAGACACCTCAGAAACCTGAATACAGACCTGCCATACGCCCCTGCCATCCCACTCCTGGGAATTTACCCGAGGGAAATGAAATCAGCACATGAAGAGTTATCTGCACCCCCATGTTTACTGCAGCTCAATTCACAGTAGCCAGGACATGGGATCAGCCCAAATGCCCATCAACTGAAGACTGGATAAAGAAATTATGGGATATGTACACCATGGAATACTACACAGCAATTAAAAAAAAAAAGAAATCCTCTTATTTCCACAATTGGATAAAACTGGAAACCATCATACTTAGTGAAATAAGCCAGTCCCAAAGGGACAAATACCATATGTTCTCCCTGACCTGTGTTTACAGAGCACCTAAAAGGTGATCTGTAGAGTGAAATTGACACTTTGAGAAGCAATGACTTGAACAGCCCTTGTCTTGACTGTTTGGGAACAGAATTTATTTATTTATTTATTTATTTATTTGAAAGTCAGAGTTACACAGAGTGAGGAGAGGCAGAGAGAGAGAGAGAGAGAGAGAGAGAGAGAGAGAGAGATCTTCCATCTGCTGGTTTACTCCCCAATTGGCTGCAACAGCCGGAGCTGCACCGATCCAAAGCCAGGAGCCAGGAGTTTCCTCTGGGTCTCCCACGTGGGTGCAAGGACCCAAGGACTTGGGCCATCTTCTACTGCTTTCCCAGGCCACAGCAGAGAGCAGGATCAGAAGTGGAGCATCTTAGACTTGAACCAGTGCCCATATGGGATGCAAACACTACAGGTGGCAGCTTTACCCACTATGCTACAGGGCTGGCCCCAATGTTATCTTTTTAAAATGTTTATTTATTTGAAAGAGTTAGGAGAGAGAGAAAAGTCTTCCATCTGCTGGTTCATTCCCCAGATGGCCACAATGGCCAGGGCTGGGCCACGTTGAAGCCCTAACCCGCGTGGGAGACCAGGAGGAAGCACCTGGCTCTTGGCTTCGGATCGGCGTAGCTCCAGCTGTAGGAGCCATTTGGGGGGTGAACTAATGGAAGGAAGACCTTTCTCTCTGTCTCTCTTTCACTAACTCTGTCAAATAAATAAAAAAAAGAAAAAAGAAAAAGAAAACAACAGCAATAGGACATAATCAGTGTTGGCATGGATGTGGAGGAGTTGGAGCTCGTGGCCTTGGCTGGTGAGCGGCTACCATGCGGGCCGGCCGGCCGGCCTTTGTTTGGAATGTGAGAAATGGCATTGCGGGGCCAGCACTGTGGCGCAATGGGTTAGGCTGCAGCTTACAATGCCGGCCTCCCAAGTGCCGGCTTCTCCACTTCCAATCCAGCTCCTGTTGATGCGCCTGGGAAAACAGCAGAAGACGGCTGTTGTGTTCCGGATCGCCCAGATAGAAAGAACCAGCAAGACTCACTGAAATGCAAAGAACAAAAGGACCAGCATGCTGGGGCCCTGGCCTCCTGTGCAACGCAGTGCTGGGAGACCAAGACCCCTTCCTCTTTATTCCCTGGGTTTTTACAGTTGCTGGGCAAACAAGTATTACCTCCGCATTCCTTCTTTCCTCATGTGGCTATACATCGAGCCCCCACCCCCCACCCTGCATTGGTTGCCCTCACCTGGTCCTGCAGGATCACGGACTGCCCGGGGCCAGGTTTCATATTCTGGTACCAGGCACATCCTGGGCCTAGCCAGTTTCTTTGTCTTGTGAGAAGCCTGTCACGGCGTGGCTCTGGCTTCTCACAATGGCCACGTATGTGGGTCCCTGCTACCCACATGGGAGGCCCAGATGGAGCTCCAGGCTTCTGGCTTCAATCTGGCCCAGTACCAGCTGTTGAGGCCATTTGAGGAGCTAACCAGTGGATGGATGATTCTCTCCTTTTCAAATAAATAAAATAATTTGTATTTTAAAAAGCCATTTCCTGAACTCACTTCCGGGACCCCAAGTTAGAGTGTCTGAGGTGTGGCTCAAGAAGTTGTCATTTAGAAAACTGGAGTTAGCACATGACCTGGCAGCCACAGCTCTGTGTTCGCAACCACAAGAACTGGCAGCAGACACTGGCACACTCACGCTTACAGCATATTATTCAAGGCAGCCATCGAGCGTCCACTGACTGCGCAGCCACCAAAATGCAACACCAGGGGAACTCTGCGAACACTATGCTAAGTGAAATGCACAGATCATAAAAAGACAGAGCCTACATGGGGTTCCTAGAGCAGCAATTCCTAGAGACAGAGAGCGTTGCTCCTGGGACTGGGGCGGAGTTGAGACAGCTGCAGGAGAGGAGTGGCCTAAACTCCACTGGGTTGTGCACTCACGACTGAAGCAGAGATCTTTCAGTTCTAAGGTGCTTAATGTGTTCCACAGCAGGCTTTCCCACACTTGATCCAGGTGATCCTCAGAGGGGCAGGCTGGCCGTGCTGTGTTCCTGGTGGAGTGGGGGCCGCTCCCTCGGTCCATCCTGGCACCTGCGGTGGGGCGAGGTCTCCTTGTGTCTGTGCGAGTCGCCTTGCAGGACCGAGGAGTCTCCTCCCACCACTGCTCTCCCGGCTGTGAGGCTCACTGGGTGCCTGAGGCGCTTTTGTAAGCACCTCAGGACTCCCAGGAAGGCTTGGAACCCCCAGAGAAGCTCAGAGGTGACAGCCTGGGGAGCTCCGTCATTCAGAGCACTCCCCATCCCTGCGCACTGTACCCCCAAGCACAGTGGACGGCAGCCAGGGGAGGCCGCCATCACCATGCCATCACCATGCCGGCTGACGCTCGCATCTTCTGCTGGTCGGCCCAAGCCTGGCTCAGGACAGGGCCCGCAGCACCTGTCAGACGCCCATCCTGCCCTGCGGATGCCCCAGTCCCCATGGCCTCGGGAGTGTCCAGGTACTTAGCATGGCCCCAGGCCGCCATCCTACTCCTGCTCCAGCCAGACTTGGGGGGCTCCACACCCCAGCCTGCTTCCCCTGTGCCTGCCCCTCCCGGCTTGCACACAGAGCCCCTGTGTCTATGGCAGCCGCCGCCTTCGCTTCGTGCCCTGTGTGCACCTGCCCTCTGCGGGCCTTGGGGGCAAGGAACCAGCCCCCTGCTCCCGTGCCCACGCCTGGTGGCTCTCAGCACTGCTCACACATGGACGGGATGCTTCTGAGAGCGTGGGGAAGGCAGGCGGTGACCACTTCACTACCCAGAACAGGACGGGGAGACAGCACGCTGCCCAAGACCGCACAGGTGAGAAGTGTGTGTGGGGGGGAGGGGCTCTGAACTCCACAGGGGAGTCCATCCACGACCACGCGGTTGCTGAACACGCGGACCCCTCCCAGGTCTCCTGCACAACTCCTGCAGCAGCTGTGCGCCGGCCGCACTCCCTGCCTCCTCGGGGTTCTGCGGTCTAACATGCATCTTGATTTACTGCTCAGAGCGGCTCGGAGCGAGAGGCCAAGTGTACAAGTGACCCTGGGCAGGTCACTTGGGGGTGCCAGGGTGACCGCTGCGCGACCCCGGAGAAGCCCATCGGCTGCCCACCCCACTGCTGCCCACGCCGGGGGTCCAGCCCCGAGGAGCGCCGCGCGCCAGGGCAGCTGCGGGGCCGGCGCAGGCCGATGGCAGGTACGAGCAGCTGTACAGCAGGTCTCCGACGAGCACTGAGGCACAGGGAAAGTGAGACGGCTGTACGGAGCACGCAGCCCGCGGAGCCCGAACCAGTGATCTTCCCCCAGGCGCGGACTGCCTGGCCGCAGAGGCCCGCCCCCACCACGCCGAGCCCCGCCCATCACGCCGGGCCTCGCCCATACAGGGCCCCGTCCCCACCACGCCGGGCCCCGCCCATACAGGGCCCCGCCCCACCACGCCGGGCCCCGCCCACGTCTGGGCTCTGCCGCCGGGCCCCGGGGCGCAGTGCGCAGGCCCCGACGGTGAGAGGCGGGACGTGACCTGTCACGTGGGAGCGGTTGCGGACGCGATTGGCTGCGGCCGAGGGCCCGTGGGCGGAGTCAGGCCGGTGGCTGAGTCGGGTTCTGCCGGTGGCGCCGCCGAGAGCTGGGCCCGCGGCGTCCGGCGCACCCCACGCGCCCCCGGCCTCGCCTGCACCCAGCTCGGGTGCCCTCGCCCCGGCCTCCGCTCGGGCCACAGGCCGGGCACGGCCGCTGCAGGAGCCGGTGGGCGCGCAGGGGCGAGGCGGCCGGGCGGACGCCATGTCCATGGAGGACCCCTTCTTTGTGGTGAAAGGGTGAGTGTGGTCGGCGCTGTGGCCAAGGCGCGGCGGGTGGGCGCCGCCGGGCTGCGGGAGGGAGCGGCGCGCGAGTGCGGCCGGCGGGGTGCTCGGCGGGGGCTCGACGCGGTCCCGGCCAGCCCCTCGCTCGCCTCCCGCGGGGTGACAGGTGTCGGTCGCGGCTGCTGCCTGGCTCGGACGCCACGCCGTGTGCAGGTGGACACTCCGGACGCACGGCGTATCACACCGAAGCAAGGTGGTTCTGAGCCGCAGCTTTAAAAAATCTGGGTTTATTTGAAAGGCGCAGCATCAGAGCGAGCGTCCATCGCCGGCTGGCCCCTCGGATGCCCGCAGAGCAGAGGCCGGGCCGGGCTGCAGCCAGGAGCCCAGCGGGTCTCTGCCGTGAGGGGCGGCCCTCCGCGTCCGGGCTGCGTGGGCAGGAAGCTCCGTGGGGACACCCGCGCCCCGGCTCCTAGTGAGCCGTTTTTAAAAGATTTATTTATGTATGTGAGAGGTAGAGTTACAGAGAGAGGGAGACACACACACACACACACACACACACAGGGAGAGGGAGAGAGAGAGAGAGGGAGGGAGGGAGGGAGGGAGACAGACACACACACACACACACACACGGGGGGGGGGAGACAGACAGACAGACAGACATTCACTCCCCAGATGGCCACAACAGCTGGGCTGTGCCAGGCCAAAGCCAGGAGCTTCTTCCGGGTCTCCCACGCGGGTGCAGGGTTCCAGGCACTTGGTTCATCTACGGCTCTCCCAGGCCACAGCAGGGAGCTGGGTCGGAAGTGGAACAGCCGGGATAGAAGTGGCGCCCCTGTGGGATGCCAGCGTTGCAGGTGGCTTTTACTGGAGTTTAGGAAAACCCTAGATTGCCATGCCGCGTTGACATTTCCTGGATGGGGGTCAGCACAGTCCGTCAGGGCCGTGGGCTTGTCTGACTTTTCCCAGGCGTAGCTCATGTCCTCTAGGTGCTGCCGGAAGAGGACTCAGCGCCTCACCAGCCACGTGGTGTCGGTGTTGGTGGCACCTATTAGGTGCTGATGTGGAAATCAGGGATGCCTAAATTATTGCCTCAGCTCAGGACCTTCTGGTCTAACCTGGGCAACAAATCACCCCCTAAACTAAGTACAGATAACAGGTGGAAGGCCAGAGAAAGGCAACTCCTTAGCAATTCTTAGGATGGAAAAGCTTCTAGGAGTAGAAGTGAGGTTCTTAAAATATTTATTTCCATTTTATTGGATAGACAGCAAGATCTTCCATCCACTGACTCACTCCCCAAATGCCCCCCTACCGCCAAGGCTGAGCTGGGCGCCTGGAACTCCGCCTGAGTCTCCCTGGGCGGCAGGGACCCAGGTGCTGCCTCCTGGTGTGTGCATCTGTGGGACGTGGAGGAGCTGGGCCCAGAGGCAGGCACTCCAGGGATTGCAGGTGTCCCGGGGCAGCTTACCCACTGTGGCAAACACCCACCCTAGCAGTAAGTAGATCTTGACTTAGGTGTTTGCTGGTTTTGATTTGTTTTAAGACGTATTTAGAGACAGAGGTCTTACATCCACTGGTTCACTCACCAGTGGCTGTAACAGCTGGAGCTGAAGCCAGAAGCTTCTTCGGGGTCTCCCACGTGGGTGCAGGGTCCCAAGCACTCGGGCCATCTTCTGTTGCTTTCCCAGGCCCTCAGCAGGGAGCAAGATCAGAAGTGGAGCCCATTTGGTGTGATACACCACAGCACCAAACCCTTTAATTAGGTTTTAAAGATGGGCAAAATGTAAATAATTTGGGCCCCTGGATTTTTTTTTGAGTCTCTTTAGTCCATCTTCCTGCTCCAGTCCCTTTGCTCTTCTGTGCTCCGGGGTCTGCTGAGTCTAATGCAGGCCACGTTTATCACTGTTCATTTTCCAGCAGCCACAGAAATGGGCGAAGGAATTTTAATGTCTTTAGTATGTTCAAAGATATGAGGTATTTTAGTTTTCTTTGTGCTAACTCTTTGAAATCTCATGTATATTTTATGCTTACAGCACATTACAATTTGGATGTTAAATTTTCATCAGAGATACTAGACTTGCAGTTAGTTTGTTAAAGTGTTAGTTGGGAAGTAAATCTGCATACCTTAATTGCTCCAAACGTACATAAAAGTTTCCTGGTAACTGAATTGCATCTCAGTTTTTAAATTTAGGTTACTTAGAATCTGACTCTCCAGTTGTGGCTTCTGCGCTGACTCCACTGCCCAACTCCCGCTCCAGCCCCGCTCCAGCCCCACTCCTGCCCCCTGCCCAGCTCCTGCCCCCTGCCCAGCTCTCAGCTCCACCCCCTGCCCAGCTCCTGCCCCCTGCCCAGCTCCCAGCTCCACCCCCTGCCCAGCTCCTGCCCCCTGCCCAGCTCCCAGCTCCACCCCCTGCCCAGCTCCTGCCCCCTGCCCAGCTCCCGCTCCAGCCCCTGCCCAGCTCCTGCCCCCTGCCCAGCTCCCAGCTCCACCCCCTGCCCAGCTCCTGCCCCCTGCCCAGCTCCCGCTCCAGCCCCTGCCCAGCTCCTGCCCCCTGCCCAGCTCCCAGCTCCACCCCCTGCCCAGCTCCTGCCCCCTGCCCAGCTCCCAGCTCCACCCCCTCCACAGCTCCACCCCCTGCACAGCTCCTGCCCCCTGCCCAGCTCCCAGCTCCACCCCCTGCCCAGCTTCTGCCCCTGCCCAGCTCCTGCTCCAGCCCCTGCACAGCTCCCCCACTCCTGCTCCAGCCCCTGCACGGCTCCCCCACTCCTGCTTCAGCCCCCTGCACGGCTCCCCCACTCCTGCTCCAGCCCCTGCACGGCTCCCCCACTCCTGCTCCAGCCCCTGCACGGCTCCCCCACTCCTGCTCCAGCCCCTGCACGGCTCCCCCACTCCTGCTCCAGCCCCTGCACAGCTCCCCCACTCCTGCTCCAGCCCCTGCACAGCTCCCCCACTCCAGCTCCCGGCCCTGCACAGCTCCCCCACTCCGGCTCCGGGCCCAGCAGCAGCAGCCTCAGTGCCTGTCGATGCCTGCAGCCCTGGCGGTCTTGCTGCTCATGCACCGCCCTCCTCAGCTCTCGGGGCTCGGCCCCGGCGTCTCTGCCTCCGGGGATGCTTCCCCTGGCACCGTCATGGTTCCTCTTGCTCTGGCTGCCATCGTGAAGCCGTGCCCTGTGCTGATGGTGGGGGCGTCCTGGGGCGGCAGTAATTGCAGCTGATAGTGAGTGCTGCCGGGTGTCCTGCGCTAAGTCAGCACTTATGGAGTTCCGTGTCATAAGTGCTTCAGCCTCATCGTCAAGATGAGGAGCTGAGCAAGCAGAGAGGTCAGCCTGCTTGCCCAGGGTCATGGGGCTGCCAAGCGGTGGACCCAGGATTCACATCTGAACTTAATCCCACTCCTTCTGTTGCTTCTCCGTTGCGCAGGTACCATAGGGCCAAGTGGCTTTGGCCTGAGGCCAGTAGAGACTTGTAGACCTGGGAAATCCCATGAGGTGGAGTTTGGAATAATAGTGTGTGGTGGCAGTGTGGAGCCCAGTTAGGCTGTGCCTGCAGCAGGCACCCACGTGCCCTGGCACTGGAAGCTCTTTTGTGAGGTGTGATACGGTCAGAAACCCAGAACTGTAGGTGCCTTTTTAATCCTTAGGAGGTAGACACCATTATCATCCCGGTAGAAAGAGGAAGACACAGCTTAGTGAAACACTTCTGGTTCATAACCTTGGAAATGGGAAGGCAGGATTTATATAAACGTGCGTTACTACTTATTTTAGAAATTGAAATTATGTATTGTTTTGTGATCTTTTCATCTGTATTTCCTTATATCCTTTAGCTGTGTTGGTGGGGGAGGGATTTGAAGGCGTAGTGTTGTACCTGGACACTGTGCAGACAAGTTCAAGAGAGATACAGTGTATGGGGGAGTCCGGCCCGTGGTGCCTCCTTCTCCTTATTCTGCATTTTCTTTGTGGAGTGGGGGGGGGGGGTCCCTGGGACCAGGGAGCAGCAGAGCAGTTTCAGAAAGGGGGTGGGGAGGCTGAAACAGTGCTTGTTTCAGGGAGGAGTTGGTTGGGTTTAAGTTGATTTGTTTGGGATGGGAGGAGGCATAGGAAGTTTACATTTAATCTGGTAAATTCTCAATTTAAAGCCAGCAGGTGTATTCCCTTGCTTTTAGTCACCTATTAAGGACTCAGGCCCGCGTCTCCAGATTCCACAAAGAAAGCAGATTTGTCGGGATTCTCCGCAGAAGTGGGGTTCAGTAGATCCTGGTGGCAGAAGGTGTATGGCTGACGGCAGATCGGAAGTGCTCCAGGGAGGCAGGGAGGAGGTCTCGGTGCTCAGTGAGCTCAGGTCACGGCCGTCCGAGGGTCCCATGCAGACGGTGTGCAGGCAGAGTCAAGGAGGGCTCTCATTTATTTATTTATTTATTTGACAGGCAGAGTAGACAGTGAGAGAAGAGACAGAGAGAAAGGTCTTCCTTTGCCGTTGGTTCACCCTCCAATGGCTGCCGCGGCCGGCGCGCTGTGGCCCGCGCTCCGCGTTGATCCGATGGCAGGAGCCAGGTACTTATCCTGGTCTCCCATGGGGTGCAGGGCCCAAGCACTTGGGCCATCCTCCACTGCACTCCCTGGGCACAGCAGAGAGCTGGCCTGGAAGAGGGGCAACCGGGACAGAATCTGGCGCCCCGACCGGGACTAGAACTTGGTGTGCCGGTGCCGCTAGGCGGAGGATTAGCCTATTGAGCCACGGCGCTGGCTGTTTATTTATTTATTTATTTATTTTTGACCGGCAGAGTTAGACAGTGAGAGAGAGAGACAGAGAGAAAGCTCTTCCTTTGCCATTGGTTCATCCCCTAAATGGCTGCTATGGCCAGCGCGTTGCACCGATCCGAAGCCAGGAGCCAGGTGCTTCCTCCTGGTCTCCCATGCAAGTGCAAGGCCCACGCACTTGGGCCATCCTCCACTGCCTTCCTGGGCCACAGCAGAGAGCTGGACTGGAAGAGGAGCAACCGGGACAGAATCCAGAGCCC